CATGTCTGAATCCTATGCGAAGTGCGTTAATGATATGCGACTTTCATCGGCCATGACTATATGTCCTTGGTTGAACACAATTCAGTGAATGCAATGGTTTGGTCATAATACCTTTCTTGTGTTTCATGAGACCTGATCAAGTTTTTAAACCTTTCAAAATAATCGTGTGCTTGTCTTCTGCAAACGATTTGACATACTTTACTATACCCTTATATTGTGCTTGCGAAAATAATGCTTTCTCCCACACCTTTTGTTCTTTACGTCCGGTGTCGATCTCGGACGGTGAGTACCCCGTAGACGCACTGACTAACGTGGCATGGGCATACTGTATAGTCCCTACTCAATAAACCAAGTCTGTACATTGGCATACTATCATGCATCGAAGAACGCCTTCTAGGGCTAAGCTCTGCCTTTTTGTTTGTTCATCTGCTTGACTCGATGAGCAGTGCTCATACTGATAATTACTCTGATAATTCGCATCAGTGATTTTCAGAAGTGTGACGTAAGCTTGACATATCGGCCACTGCTTATGGCTTTAGCTAATTCGTAGTGACGTACGACCGTGTCGACGAAACACTGGTTTGCAACCTTAACTTCGTCATACGTAGGTGCAGCGGTATGTTGAGCGCGCTTGAGGATATTGTCGACGACAGCCATTATTTCGTCAAGCCCTTCCGACGTAAAAAGCTCTGAGATGAAGTCCATCGTTACTACTGAGCCAGTAATTTACTGAATCGTAATTGGCATCCGAAGCCCGTTATTACGGAGACTGGTGTTTTTTAAACGGGTACGATTTTTGCATGACTTAACATACAGTCATATTTCTTGTTGCATCGACTTCCAGTAGTACCATTGGGATGTACTTCGAAACGTGCGGCGATTTCCGGTGTGTGCTGCGATCGTCAAATTGTGGTGCTCTTCGACTGTACGAGTACGCAGCCGGTTTTTAGTAGGAAACACAGCCGTTCGACCTTGTTGGCAAATTTGATAAACAAGAGGTCGCCCTCCTTGACACAGTCGCTATTTTCGGGTACAGTATCGCTCCAAAATGATCTGAGCTCGAAACAATTGTATTAATCTCATTAAAGATCACGTTTGGCGTCCGATGACAACTCGACCTGTAAAATTGCGCGTGTATTAGCGGAACAGCAGGTTCACGAGCTCACCCTGGCAGAGATAAAGCCTAAGATGGCAGACGAAAATGAGAAGCACAAGAAGTACAAAACGAATTACAATAATGATATGTCACTTGAGCAACAGGCGGATCCACATCAACAGGGAGGCGCGAGAGAGCATCGACACCGACGTTTAAGGTGCCCGTGACATGATGAGATCATGCATCAACCATGGACACGCACTAGTGACGGCATAAATGTCGAAGTGCCGGATACAGCGATAGTATCTCCACTTATCCAGGCCCAATATAATCGTGAAAAGCTCTTTTTCGTGCACTAGCCAATAACGTTCATGAGCGCCGAACTTGTTCAAATTGAACGCGATCGGAAAGATTTGCTCGTAAAATTGGACACGAACTCACCACACAAGTAGCCAGCGCGACCGCAGTCAGCACAACCGGCCGCGAAATATGGACTAGATTGTGTACAGGATCACTTTACAATGCCTGTTTAAGTTGTATGCACGCATTGTAATGGTCAACACCCCAAGTCCTTGGCCTATCCGTCTTGACGAGACGACTCTAGGAAAGAACTATGTGAGCGAATTGGAAGATGAAGCGGTGATAATATCCGGCGAGGCCAACAAAATTCTGCAGCTTCTCTACATTAATGTGGTAAAACCAATTTGCGGTCGCGGATGGCTTGGCCTGGTCGACAAAAAGGCCGTGATGAAACATCGTATGGCCTAGAAATCACCTCACGTAATCCAAACTTGCTTTTTCCCGGTGAGCAAACAGCTTTTCAGCGTGAAGAACTTGGAAACGGAACTCGAGATATTGGGTATGCTTATCCACAGAGGTAAAACAACGCAGATGGTCAACTAGCCCACAAGGAAAGGCTATTCTCCGAACGGAATTCTCATCGATCGCGAATCAAAAAGGGTTTCCGGCTAAACCCATAGGCGCGGCGAACCCCCATTATATTTCGTTATAGATTATTAATGCCGTGTACTTTTATGTATTCGGATGGAAACGCATCTGGTGGTACCCTGCGCTAGGTTGATGGCGATAAACTTTATCATGCCTCGCATGTGATCGTAAATTGTCGATGCGAGGGAGGAGAATATTCGGAAGAACAGTTTAGTAATCGACATGGCGATAATCAATTACTCACCGAATTGGAATTATCGCATTACCCGAACTAATTCATTCTGCACGAGACAAGGCGTTGTTAGTCGATAAATCCTTTTTAGGAATGCCAAAAACGCTAAATAACCACGGAGACTTAGAGCCATTTATCCATTCCTTCGCAAAAATTTCTTCAACAAACAAACGGAGTGCTTCTTGATCTAGATTTGACAGTAGGAATGGCGGCCTAGTGCTCAGGTCGGCATACGTTTCAATGGCCGTCTCAAACTCGAAAAGCCAATGAGGTGGGAGCTCGTCTGGAGGATTCTCCGGGACAACTTCCGAGCAAGCCTTCATGATATGCAACACTCTTGGAATCGTGATAGCTGAAGGCTTCGTGGTGCAGCTTCTGATTCCTCAAAGCCTGCGCCACAATTTTTGCGATCGAAGTCGGGAAAGGAAATAGTCGGAATATCAGTCTTTGACAGTTGAAAATATGATAACTTGACGTCATGGGTGCGCAAGATAATGATAGGATTGTGATCAGTAAGCCAACATTTACCCAGAGACACATCGTGCTTATTTCACTTAGGACTCTAACATCATGAAAGACACGTCCGGCAAACCCAATATCAGCCAAGCCTTCATTGACCTTTCGCTTGAAGGTGTTAAAGCCATTTAACGCATGTCTTGCACTGCCTCTTAAACACGACACGCTTCAAAAACCCCGGTTTGACCACATTTCACGTTGCTTCCGAGTCAAAAGGTATCTGTGCGGTTTACTAGTCGCAAATTACTGTTATAAATATCGATTCCTTTACTGGAAGCTTGTCCGCCTCTTCGTCATACATGTGTGTAATTACTTCATGAAAAAATCCAGACACTTCTCTAACCTTCGATTCAGCTTCGTCAGATAAATTAACAGCATCGCGGTCTTGACTTACGTTTTTGCGGCGCATGTGGGGTGGAGCTTATTTTTACGGATCTGTAGTTAATAGCATTGCTCGATGATATGCCCTAGCCTTTTAAAGTAGCGAGAAAATGACTGCGATCGCCGTTGTTGATTGGATTAGAATCGCCCGTGGGGGCGGATCGGTCGATCATTGTCGATCTCCATTGGCCCTGAGTGAGTATCCACCGGCAAACAATACGAAAATGGTTGAGCTGCACGACAATCTGAACTTGGGACTTCATTCCGTTGGCCTGAGTGTGAATCATAATAACCCATCGCTATCGAGATTTTCTGGCTCAGGATGGTGTAGTAATGATAGCTTATTTCCTGTTGAATATAAATACGTACCCTGCGCTGGAAATAAATACATTTATCTACCTCACTCGTTTCGGTCATTTGCATCGTAACTTTACGGAAGCGAGCGACATATTCGGCCAATTTTCTGCAAGTAGATTGCTTAATCAAATGCAAATCGGCACGTAGACGCTGTTAGAGGTTGGTCGGAACAACCTCACGGTCAGTTTGCAAGAGAAAGGGACGACTGAGGTAATGTAGGCGCAATTGATTGACTTCCACAGAGCAGCTGGCCGGCGTAGTCCACTGGCAAGGGTTGCGATGAGTTGTCCGGATGTAGTTTCGTCTTATTAATTTGTTCCTCGTTTTATAAATTACTGCTTTATTTGAACGTAGAATAGCCGTTCCGATTCTTTGAGTGACTAGTGTAGGCGGGGGGTCTCATTCCGTTTACTTAAATGCCTGATTCAATACGGGGACTCATAAGTGTTGATAAAATCTGCTGTTGATGCTTCAGTATTTGCACCACAGTCCATAATTTGCTTCGAAATGGGATCGGTCATCGTGACGAGTATAAATGGCACTAAAATGCTAATTTATCGCTTAGCCGGTTGACTCTAAATTACTTTTCGAATGATGTGGTTCTTCTATAAGTCCCATAGAGCGTAACAAAGGTCGATACACAGGGTACGGTCAGCTTCAGTACGATTCAGTGTTGATTTCGCGGAGCGGGTTGGCGAGACGGGGCGTTACTTTAGGCAAGTATACGTTTTTCTTGTTCAGCTTTCGTCGCGCTTAGAATCTGCACTTCGTCCAGATTCTAAGCGCGACTTGCAGCCTCAGACCCAGCGCTAAAGAGGAAGGACTTAAAACAGTCGATATGGAAAGTACGTTCGCGTTTTCGCTTTCTCATGCACGTTGGCTGACAGGACCGCAATTTCGTTTGCCTGACGGCTACTGACTGAAAAGTCTCAGAAGTTTAGCGGAACCACGCAAGGAGGTTTTTAGGGACCTGACAATGTCAAATCGACTATAAGCCTGACGACCGAGCCAGAACTTACACACGCTCAGTGGCTCTACTTGACTATGATACTTACAGTAAATCTAGAAACGATACAACGAGATTTAATTAGTACAGCGACAGCGCGAGGTTGTCAGAGAAGACAATACCACAACAGCGGGAGAGTAGAACCCCAAATAGAAGACCTCCTAGACATCAACGACGTGGGTGGAGAAGACTAAGACAAGTAGACCAACAAGCGCTACCAGTTGTAAAGATGGAGACATTTTTATAGGCGTTAAGCTATCTACACTACGGCTGGCTAGGGAGAAGCCCCTTTTCACTCAAAAGTCCATGTATGGCCTCACTCCATACATCCTACTTACTGATTTTTCTGTTTTTTCGGGCGGTTGAGGTGACGTATGCTCTTCCTGACGACCACTTAATTCTTTCATGGAGTGATGTAGCCCTCAGATTTCTGTGTCTTGATCAATATATGCAAATGAATGAATTTAGCTTCTTTCTAAATCTACAGATAGTCTAACTTTTCTTGCATACTTATATTCCTTAGATCGGCGCAGTGCGAATACTAGAAAAGCGTCAAAAGAGAGCTGGTCTCCGACGACTAGTTTGGAAGTGTCACCTCCGACTCCACGGAGAGATGAGAAACGATGAAAGTGCACCACCAGCGCCTTGTGAATAGTGCCACATTTCGTGCCACCAGGCATCGTCACGTCGAATCCAAAATCAAGCGATTCGTCGTTGATATCGTCCAAGGATACCACATCGCCCAAGCTTCGCCACATTGAAGCACGCTCCGGATACGCTTGACATACATTCTCGAGAAAGATGACAATCTTTTCGCGAGTGCCGACGCGCACGACATCTTCCTTCAAATGGGAGGGAATCGACGGATCTGCCACCAAAGAGTGGGCAACGCAGCAACCCGTCCGAAGAATACCTGGTAACTTTTCGTTCGCGTCTACGATCAGCAGATGTTCCGTGTCCTTCTCCATACTAGTCCAGTCCAAAATCGAGATCTTCGATAATACCAATCGGAAGCAGTCCAGAAAAGTCTTTCCTGTCGCAAACCCCGCCAGTGGTTGATCCAATAGACTTACGATGTGGCACAGCCTTTTCAACACGTCGTTTTCCATGCTCTGATAGTACTCCGTGGTGCCAAATGGTGGTGTGCAATTGATCACCAGCTGACCGGCATACATCTCAGTCAAGAAGTTCTGGGCTTTGTTTGCCTCAAATACTCGATCAAGCTTGACAGAAAGCTCGTCAACAACTCCTTGACGGTCATTCATATTCACATCTTTGACGCTCATGTAAAGGAGTCCTCGAAAAAGTTTCGGTTCCTTCTTGAGTAGCTGCACCCCCTTCTGGAAACGAGAGAACAGACTATCGACGTCTTTGTCGAAACGACTGTCCATACGAAACACCGTGAGCTGCGATACTGAAGCGTTGAGTACAGAAAGAAACACGTCCTCCTGTTCTGACCTCTCGAATGAACCAAGACCTTCAAAATCCAAAACAAGAAGAAGCATGTCACTAGAAAAAAAGCGCACCGACATCCATACCCCTTCCGCGGACCGAGAGCCAGCAATCGCAAACGTTGTCCCTGTGAGACGCTTTCTAGTCTATTATCTCCCTCGACCTCGTTGAACGGAACAGAGTGAAACGTCACGCTTCTGAGTTCATGTACACTTTGATATGAATCTTCGTGTGACACACTGCGCGGTGGTAAAAGCGCAGTCTACTAATCAAAGTACAATAAAAAGACAGTTCATCCATTGGCGAAAAAATAGCTTCCGGATCAAACGCCCACCCGTCATCATGTAAGGTATGCGGTGCAGCCGGAGATGCTTCAGTCAATTTCTTTCGAGATACGACCGAGCTGCTTATGTACCAAGCTTCTTCGTGAACACACGACAAATGAAGAGATACGGATATTCATACGACACGAATGTAGAAGCTTCCAATAGCAAACGACTTTCACATACGAGGCGAATACAGTCATCCGACGTAATTCCATACGGTCTGTCTCATTGGAGATTGTGAAAACATCCAGGCGCAGAAATTGCACCAGTGCTGCTTCCATCGTATCCAACAAATGATCGCTTGCGTGTGACGTAGACAAACGCGTCGAAAAACTCGAGCTGCATCACGCAAATATTGTCTGTAAATGCACAGTGAGTCCTCCTAGAAAGACTCAAGTATACGCTTCAAAGACGTATCAGAATTGCTGACGCATGCTTTTTTGCCATCGCCAACGTACGTAGCAGCTCGATGACTCATACATGCACAAACCACAAGGTAAATATACTACTGATTGCACTGGAAAGCGTTGCACAAGAAGATAGAACATTGAGGTCCAACTCACATTCACCAATATACATATTTGACCTGGTCTTGAGCAACTGCCCATACTTGCACAAGCAGCGCCTTCATGCAAACCGGCCAACCTGAAATCAATATCCGTGACACCTCGAACATATTTAAGTGCTACGAAGACCATTGTTGTCATCGAATTGGCAATGTAGTATCGGACGTGAACATCACATCAAACATACATTCACTGTGACGAGGGACCGACATCTACGTCCTGGACTACCAGTACGGAGTTGACTCTCACTGATAACATTAAAGGTCATTGCCCTACTACCTCTACACACTAAACAGATGAAGGGTAACGACTAAAAAAAGACTTAGTTAATAGGAAGAGTAGAACTGTTATTTAATATAATTAGCACAATATCTAATGTTATCTGATTTTTCCTAACTCAATTTTAATAAAATTAACTAAACGTATGATGACGTCTGCTTACCACCCATTGCGAGCGTCTAGCAGCAATAAGTGGGTCGGTATCCCCACAAAATTAACCAATGAGTAGATCCTTGGTTCATCTCAACAATATGACTGTATTAAGAAATATTTCTAAACGAATATCTAGCATAATGTTCTTTATAAATCATTTCTCATAATGGCAATATCATGTAACGGGCTACCCCGTTACATTCGCCGATGCAGTCAGCTGCTGATTTTCGAATGATGAAGCCGCTCAATCGCTGTAGATTAGCAGTCAAGTCATCAAAGCAAGGTTTTTATCCGCTCGTGGGCTAGGCGATGACAATTTTACTCCCGAAGCTGATACGATTTGAAGTGCTGCTGAGATCGCAGCAAATCGGACCATCCGATAGACGACGTGATTGAACCAGCACAAAGGTTCAATGCGGCATGCACTTGACCAGTTGCGTGTCATCAGATACATACGAGTTTTGTTGCCACACAGCCTTTGCATAAAGCCGGCTATGGCGACACCAGACTTCTGCACCATTGTCGAAGTTGTTTAACCATGCCTTCGTAGTGACAGCCCGATCCGATGCCGTCGCAAATTTTGTCACGGCAGTCTTGCTTTGCAGAAATGACCAAATTCACGACGTTGTCGACCCTTCCAACATGCTCACAAGCCGCTGGTATATTCGCATGAGCACTTGCATTCATTCCAAAATTACTAAACTTGAAGAACATCAATTGAGCTCCTCCATCAATCGAAGTAATGCACTACTGAGTGACGGAACCTTCTTCTCGACCCGTCGCCGATCTGGACATTCGCGGGTTGGAAGAGTATGCTTACGTCTCCGAAGCACATCTACGACGTATGACTATGACCCCTTTCGATTTCGACGTCAGCAAGAGACCGCAACGGTGTTATAGATGCTTCTCTAGCTCGTGGATCAAGTGGCCAGACGCTGTTAGCATCGCGGAGCTTTTAGCCGTCAAAGTCAACGATACATTCCGATTATTCCTGTACCAATCTTCTCGTGAACAAAATCACGCTGCAACGCATGAGCGCTAGAGATTTTCCACACGATGTATAATGGAAGTCAGCAGCCCCTGAGAGCCAGGATTGTTTACCTCCACGCCATTTTTACGTCTCTTCTTCTCCTGCTTCTGCACGAGAGCAAGATGTTACAACGCGCACCACCTGAGCCGAGGTAGAACGGGTACATAGGAGACCCAGTTGTTGAGTAAGTGAGTGAGTAAGCGATTAAGAGAGAAGGTGATGTATATTTAGGTACGGGTACGACCTACTACATCTTGTCGCTAGGCAACTAAGTTACCACAATGAAGACTACTTTACGAACTAGGTAGCACTAGGCCTCGAAAAGCAGATGGTCTACGAGCATACGCTTGTCTTGAAATGATCAGGGTCCTCGGTGACAGCGCGGGGCCCGATATTACATGTTGTTCGGTGTGAGAGGCCTTCATGCAGTGGTTGACATCATTGTCGCAAAAAGTTTAAGTCTCCTAGACAATACCGAGCTTGGAGAGACAATGCACTTGAGTAGAAGCTCCTGTGTTCAAAGTGATATTCGACAGTAGGTCCGTTGTTATATTGTATGCGCGATAATGATATCATCAGCTGGCTAAATCGATATCGTCAAAGATGATGTGTGATTCTCGATATAACAGCACCAAGTGCGTATTTCACGGAGGGTGCAGAGTTCGTAATTGCGAAAGCACTATAGCAATGTCTCCAATTATATGAAGATGTCAACAATACTGCTTTCGCCTGTCGAAGGCCGTGAACAAGCCCCCTATATTCCGCAACGTTATTAGTGGCATCAGCGAAACCATAAGCCATGCTCGATACCCACATGACGCAAGTGGCGTGCGTCGCAATGTGGAGTTGCACAATGGTGGATCCAGCTCTTCCTAGACCAAGATTTTTGCGAGATCCCCGTCAAAAAATAGGACGTACAGCACTCCAGATCACCGTTTGAGAGGCAGCATGTGCAGCGACGGCGGTTCATCGGAGTAGAGGATAGCATCGGTCAATGATAACCTTTCTTGTGAAAAGCGTTGCCCGCCTTCCCCAATGTCAGGCCGGTATGTTTACCCATGGAATCGTCTAACCGGCCGTCAATACAGGTTCTAGGCTTTGGCTATGGGTGTAACTCCTGTGCCAAGGACGAGTCGTCCATGCATCGGAGGCGATCGACCCATACGGCTTAAAGGGTCGTAGATACGACGTAACGCTACGTCTCTTGAGCTGCAAAGAAGACCGCAGACTGATCTTTTGACGACTAAGATCCTAATTCAAGAGATTGCCGAACAATATCACAGCATGTTGAGGGATGACCAGGTCCAAACCGAGACGTTTAAGTCAGTCCTTGTGAAAGACCCGAGCCATCGCCACCGATCAAGTAGATATGTCCAGTGGCGGCGCGCACTAGGGTAGGCCCAAAAATATGGCTTGTCATGGAGGAAACTGTCTCCGCACAATCAGGTGCGGGGCAGACCGATATTACGTAGTCCAATTTCGGAGCGGAAAGCTGTTTCTATTCAGACGATACACCGTCTGAGCGTTGGTCGAAAAGGACGGTCGTGTTTATCGGATATCTATCCAGGTGATCAACGGTGTGCCTTACAAAAACACGTGAAAGTCCGTCTTAGCCACACGTTCACCGAAAAATATAGTTTTTCTAGCATGGCGACACCGGGAGATAATCTGTTTCAGTTTCTGCGGGTGGGTCGTCATCGTCGAACTCCAGGCCATATGTGTACAATGCGGGCGGGCGCCGGGTTCGCGCCATAGTGGACAGGTGTAGACTGGCTGTAGACGCAGCTATATCGCATGCTGACATCGACGAGACTGATGTACTTCGAGATCCATGCCCGTATCAAAATATTTAAACGATTGAAGTTTACTAGTGACGAGCCAGTCATGAGATAGGTGTACCTTCGTCGATTACGCACATAACGTAACGACCCCGGCTTAAGTGCCCAAAATATTAGCGATAGGAAATTGTGCATCAAAGGGCTAGTCGAAAGGGTTTAAATTCTGTTGCTTCGCCATAGTTTGGGTAGCCATGTCACGCGTAGGCGAAAACAAGACAATACCGCTCTAAATAGTCGCCGAAGACATGGTACGCCAAGGTAAGTCTACCCCTCGCAAATTAGGCTCTTTTAAGGTATTAGCCTGCCCAAGTCGATCCCTCAGCCATGACATATCCTAGGTGTGGCGTACACCAGCCGCTTGAGGTCGAAAAGTTTTATTGCCATTACTTTAGCTCTTATCTTAGCACGTATGTGCCATCAATTACCAGGAGAGTATAATTTGTGACACTTCCTCGTCATCATAATCGAACCCGGCTCTCGACGTAAAGAGATGGCACACCAATAGACCTGTTTTCGACCTCACCTTGACCGGCATGTTGAGCCGCTGAAATATCAACAATTTCGGAATTCGTCGACAATAGTCGCATAATATTGAGGGCGCTTGTCGTAAGTCCAACAAGCTATGATGTAGGCCGGAATCGACTTGTTGGAGCCCGATAAGAAGTCACCAATAAGTAAGTTTCGAACTGTAACAGTAGCGGCCCACTATCCATTTGCTGTCGATGCCATAAGCATCAGTTCCGTTCG